TATTGTTATTGTGTAATGTATATATACATACTTATTTATTTATTATATGTTAATATATTCGATACACCTTTATATTTTATATACTCAACTACATTTACCTATCACTACACTGATTGTTATCATATTATATAGCATATTGTTGTTATTATAATGATAATAATAATGATATTTACATTGCTGTTATTACTATTATTACACCGTGCTGCTGCTGTTCTTCCTCAGTTTGTTTCCTTTGTTTCCTTGTTTACTGCTTTTTTTCTTAATTGATGTGTCTCTGTCCCTGTTGTGCTGTTTCTCGAACAACAAATTCTCTGAGGTACCCTACCAAAGGGATCAATAAAGTTCTATCTAATCTAATCTAATCTAATCTAATGCTGTTTTACAAAGGCAAAAAAAAAAAAAGTTTTACTCATAGTCCTATTCATTCTGCAGATGGGATGAGAGCTCCATCTGCTGGACAAAGTTACTAATTTACTTCATTTCTTTAAACAACGTGGATTAGACAGAGAACCTTGGGTTACTGCTCATTTCTTTTCTCCTCAATAATCAGCGCTCAGAAGCGCAATGCATAAACCTGACTGGCTGCTTGGGCTGTCAGAGGGACAGAAGCACTAAATACTGGAAACGAAGACGCTACATCTTCTAAATTCTCCAAGAGAGAAAGCGACAGGAGGAGTCTGCCGGCAGATGAACGACACGGTGCGCTGCCAAAAAGTGTAGATCTGCGATGGCCGGGAATCGAACCCGGGTCAACTGCTTGGAAGGCAGCTATGCTCACCACTATACCACCATCGCTGTGGAAAAGTTAGTTTTCGTGTGCTTTCAGGAATTTAGAGGGAAAAGAGAAAAAAGGGATTTATGGGCCAGGAATCCTGGGCTGTGTGAGTGCACACTAAGCTGACCCAGCTCTCCAGGATCAGTCAGGAGAAAACAGATGTCAGTGTTAAAGTAAAGCAGTGACGAAATGATCAAAAACCTAATGATAATGTGAATATCAGTATCTCTGCATCCTCAGTATTCTTGTAAATAATACTATGCTTTTATGGTTCTTATTTAAATTTAACTTCAATTCTTCACTCCAGAGTATTTCTTGCTTCTGCTTTGTACTATTACAGTTATTTTTACTTTTGGTTACTTGTATTTTTTAGCTATTTTTTTATCTTGTACATTGTACCTTATTCTATATTTTTTGTTGCACCAACACACCAAAACAAATTATTGTGTTAACTATGCCTGGCAACAAATCTGTTTCTGATTCTGATAATACTACAACAACCACTTCCATCAGGCAGACGTTACACTGGCCAGCAAAAGCACCTATAAAACATCCTTTATTCCCACTGCAGTAACCACCTTGAACAAAATGAAACAAGACACTGAACAGTACATTTTATCGGATGCTGTTTCTTTTTAACAGTTCTTTCAGACGTCTGTGCTTTCTGAGCTTGTGTCTTAGGTGTGTTTTTATGTGTTGTGTTTTTATTGTTGGAGCCTTGTCGAAAGAGAATTTCTGTCACTATTTGAGACGGACAATCAATTTTATCTGCCCTATATCGTCAAAAGTATTTGCTCACCCATCCAATTATCGGAATCAGGTGTTCCAATCACTTCAATGGCCACAGGTGTATAAAATTAAGCACCAAGGAAAGCAGACTATTTCTACAAACATTGTGAAAGAATGTGTTGCTCTCAGGAGCTCAGTGAATTCCAGCATGGAACTGTGATAGGATGCCACCTGTGCAACAAGTCCAGTCGTGAAAGTTCCTCTCTCCTAAATATTCCACAGTCAACTGTCAGCTGTAATATAAGAAAATGGAAGTGTTTGGGAACACGACTCAGCCAAGAAGTGGTAGCCACGTAAACTGACGGAGCGGGGTCAGAGGATGCTGAAGTGCATAGTGCGAAGAGGTCGCCAACTTTCTGCAGAGTCAATCACTACAGACCTCCAAACTTCATGTGGCCTTCAGATTAGCTCAAGAACAGTGTGTAGAGAGCTTCATGGAATGGGTTTCCATTGTAGAGCAGCTGCATCCAAGCCATACATCACCAAGTGTAATGCAAAGTGTCAGATGCAGTGGTGGAAAGCACGTCGCCACTGGACTCTAGAGCAGTGGAGACGCGTTCTCTGGAGTGATGAATCGCGCTTCTCCATCTGGCAATCTGATGGACGAGTCTGGGTACTTGTCTATCTAGGCAGCAGGTAAGTGAGCAGTAGAGAAGGTTCCATGGTATAATGGTCAGCAAAATGGTCCCAAAGTTTACATTGTCCCTTTGAAGTCAGGATGGCCGAGCGGTCTAAGGTGCTGCGTTCAGGTCACAGCCTCTCATGGAGGCATAGGTTCAAATCCTACTTTGGATGTCAAATGTTTAGAAGATATTGATAATTAGTAAAGATGCGAAACCTGGAGACCTGCAAGTCATCAAGGTGAAGCT